TAGTGGTGAGAGTGGGCACATAGTGGTGAGAGTGGGCATCTAGTTCCTGTTCTAAAAGGAAAAGCTGAAAGCTTTCCCCGTTCAGGATGATATTGCCAGTCGGTTTATCATTTATGGACTTAATTATGTTAAGGTACTTTCCATCTATTCCTAACTTGCAGAGAGTCTTGATCATGAACGAGTGTTACTTGCTTTTTTAGAATCTATAGAGATGATCATATAGTCCTTGTGTTTGATTTTATTGATATGGTGTATCATATTTATTGACTTGCATATGTTGAACTAACCTTATATCCCTGGGATGAATCCCACTTGATCGTGGTGTATAATTTTGTGTATGTGTTGCTATATTCTATTAGCTAGTACTTTATTGAGGTTTTCTGCATCTATATTCATCAAGGACATCGGCCTGTAGTTTTCTTTTTTAGTTGTACCTTTACCTGGTTTTGGTATCAGGGTGATGTTTGCTCCATAGAATTTGGTAGAATTGTAGAGTTTGGTAGAATTCTGCTGTGAATCCATCTGGTCCTGGGATATTCTTTGTTGTGAACCTTCTGATAATAGCTTCAATCACTTTTATTGTTATTGGTCTGTTCAGACTTTCTGTATCTTTCTGGCACAGTTTTGGTAGCTTGTGCGTATCCAGAAATTTATCCATTTCCTCAATATTTTCAAATCTGTTGGCATATAGTTGTTTATAGTAGTCTCTAATGATTCCTTGTATTTCAGAGATATCAGTTGTAATATCACCTTTTCATTTCTAATTTTGTTATTTGGGTCTTCTCTCTTCTTGTTCTAGTTAGCCATGCTAATGGTTTGTCAATTTTGTCTATCTTTTAAAAAACCACCTTTTGATTCATTGATCTTTTGTATCATTTTTTGGGTTTCAATTTCATTAAGTTCTGCTCTGATCTTAATGATTTCTTTCCATCTGCTAACTTTGGGTTTGGATTGTTCTTGTTTTTCTAGTTCTTTAAGGCAAAGTATTAGGTTGTTCACTTGCCATCTTTCCATTCTTTTGAAGTAAGCATTTAATAATGATAAATTTCTCCCTTAGTACTGCTTTTACAGTATCCCATGGGTTTGGGGATGATGTAGCACTGTTTTCATTAGTTTCAATAAGTTTTTTGATTTCCTGCTTGATTTTGTCTTGGACCCATATGTTGTTAAGTAGAATGTTGTTAAATTTCCATGTGTTTATATAATTTCCAGAATTTCATTTCTTATGTATTTCTAATTTTAATCCTTTGTGGTCTGAAAAAATACATGGCATAATGCCAATAACATGAGAAAATGGTCACAATAAAGAGGACATCCCAATTAAGCATCAGAGGGGTGTGTGTGTGTGTGAGAGTGTGTGTGTGCACAGAGAGAAAGAAAAGGATCGGCACGAAATAGGCTCAACATTAATAGTGTTTCATTCTAATTTATGGGATTATGGGCAGTTTTGTTTTCCTCTTTATACTTTTTTTATATTTTGCAAGTTCTTGACAATAATCAGAAGAAAGAAAGTGATTAAAATATGTAAAATGAGGCAGGATGGGATGAATGGGTGGAGCACAGAGGTTTTTAGGGCAGTAAAACTACTCTGAGTGATATTATAATGGGGATACGTGTCATTATACATTTGTCCAAACCACAGCATGTGCAGCACCAAGAGTGAACCCTGATGCAAACCACAGAATTTGGTTGATAATAACGTTATCAATATAGGTTCATCAACTGTAACAAAGGTACCACGCTGGTCGTGGATGACAATGAGGAGGCTGTGCATGTGTAGGGAGCAGGGGGTATAAGGAAAATCTCTATACCTTCCTCTCAATTTTGCTGTGAACCTAAAATTGCTCTAAAAATTTTGTCTTTAAAAAAGTACATAAGCACAGAAAATAAATGTGCAAATTTGTTCAGAGCTGATGATGGTCTCAAAGGCTCAAGAAGTCTAAACATTCAGGGCAAAAGGAAAGAAGAAGAATAAGTGACAGAGTGAACAGCGGCAGGTACAAGGTGACTTGCTCAGAGAGCTGGGACAGTATCAAGGGCAGGAAGAGACGCTTGAAGGTCACGGAGGCAACTGTGTGGGAAGCCACTGTGGCCACAGGGTTGCTGGAAAGGAAGGGGCTGTGTGTATCCAGGCAAGGGAGTGGTTAAGTCCAACAGAAGGACTGCGAAGAGGCAAAGTGGGGAACAGTGAACATGAGGGTGCGTGTGAGTATGTGCACGCACACTGCTACCGTGGAATATCATAGAGCAGGTAAAACACATCAGGGTGGTCACAGTCAAAAAGGACTTTAACTTTATCTATACTACTGGACTTTTTTTTTCAAGAAAACATTCTTTTATAACATATATAATTAACCTATAAACACTTTTTTTAAAAAAGAACTCAAAGTCAGAAGGAAAGTAAGCAAGCACATAAACACAAGGTGTTGAGTAGGCTCAATCACAAGAGCATTGGAAAGAACCTAGAGATGTGCTCAGCTGTGTACGAGCTGTGTGACTCTGGAGGAGTAATTTACCTCTCTAACATAAAATTCCTTATCTGTTCATTGGGGATAACACACATGCATTTGCAAAGCTAAATCAAAACTGAAAATAAAGTATGCCTTAAGCCCAGTGCACTTGGTAGAGTCCCCCATACATGGTAGCCAAGCACACAAGAAAGAGTGGTACAGAACAGACTCTGGGTAATAGCAGAGAATGCCTGAGCTACTGGGTGTAAGAAACACACAGATGACAGTGGCCAATATATGGACGAGCGTGGCTGGTTGGAAAGGATCGCAGCATTCAAGCACACAAGAAAGAGTGGTACAGAACAGACTCTGGGTAATAGCAGAGAATGCCTGAGCTTCTGGGTGTAAGAAACACACAGATGACAGTGGCCAATATATGGACGAGCGTGGCTGGTTGGAAAGAACAAAGGATCGCAGCATCCGAGTCCTCGGCACTTACTGCAGTTCTCTTCATCACTGCCGTCGGGACAGTCCTCAAACCCATTACACCGGAAGCGACCAATGATGCAGTGGATGCCGCTGGCACAGGGGAAGAATGTCGGGCCACATTTCGATTTAGCCTTGGCTGCGGGAGGCAAAAGACAAACAGCGAGACATCAGGAGGGGACATTCATCTCACCACATGCTCATCCCACTAACTCTGAAGGTGCATGTGAGTCCTTTTAGATTGACCCTGCAGTCCCCAAAGGTTTCTTACTATCACCTCCCACCTCAACTACCCAGCCAGACTGGACACCACATGTAGCATCCTCTAGGAAGGGAGCAGCTAATCCTGCTGCTTCCAAAGTCCCCAAGAGGCCAAACACAGCCCCTGTACCACAGCAAGTGCTCAATCAAAATGTGCTGGACAAAGGAATGAATAGGTGAATGGAGAGTAGAGGGATGATGAAGGGAGCTTGATTCTTAAGGTGCTGAAGAGTCAACCAACCGAAATTAATTCCCTGAATGTCAAAGTAATTGTAGTTGACATTTAGTGGGCACTCACTATCCCAGGCAGTGTGCCAAGTGGTTGGCACGGATTAGCTCGTTTAATCCACCCAGCAGCCACCCTGTGATGGCATGCAGAAAAGAGTTAACATAACAGGCCTGAGACTGCTGTCCTTACAAAGGTCTGCTTGCAAGGTTGGTTGGTTGCTTGGCTGGAGTCTGGGAACTTGGATTTCGGGAAGGTTCCCACCACCCTAACTGATAAGAGTGATTCACTGTGCCTAAACTGTTTACGCAAACGGTACAGTTTGTACTGAACACATGCTTTCCTTTAGGGAATCTGGAATTTTGGCACATGCTACGCAGAGGCCTACATGATCAGCCCCTGAAAACTATGGGCACTGATCTCTAATGAGCTTCCCTGGTAGACAACATCTTACAATAACTCATTGCTAAAGGAATTAAGTGAATCCTTTGTGACTCCAGTGGGAAAGGACTCTTGGAAGCCTGAACCTGGCTTCCTCTGGATTTCACTCCATTCATCTTCTACCTTCATTGTTTTGGTTTATAACCTTTTGCTGTAATAAATCATAGCCGTGACTACAACCATATGCTGAGTTCTGTGAATCCTCCTGGTGAATCACTGAACCTGGGGGTGGTCTTGGGGACCCCTGACACAGATGGGTATGGTGCTTATCACCACTTCATAGATGCACTTTGAGAGGTGAAGTGACTTGCCCAAGGTCACATCACTAGACAATCTAGTGCTGGGTGAGACCCCAGGCAAGTGGACTCCGAAACCATGATCACAACCAACTCAAGAGCACAGCCACTCTGCCAAAGGTTGTCACTTCTTGCAACAGAAGCCAGACTCCTGCTCCAAAGAAATTCTTTTTCCACTCCTGCTGTACAAACAGTTTTAACAGAAACTGCTGTAACTCGGGCTTGATTGAGTATCCTGCTAAACCAAACAGCTCTGTGGGGTAATGTACTTTACAGTTAATGGTGCTGGCTGCTCTGGCTTGCGATTAGGAGGTATAAGACGGGATCTATTGCTACATCCTAGGTAGCAGGCCCTACCTGGCATCTTTCTCATCTCCTGTCTCAGAGGTAGGACCCATGATCCCCCAAGAAGGAAGGGTCATTTCTTTGGGACAAACAGGCAGTAAATTACCTCCATGTACCTGCCATCTGTAACATGCCAACATTGGCAGCAGGTGATTCACAATCAACAGGGTTTTAAGGCCTGGTTCTTTGGGACAAACAGGCAGTAAATTACCTCCATGTACCTGCCATCTGTAACATGCCAACACTGGCAGCAGGTGATTCACAATCAACAGGGTTTTAAGGCCTGGGACGTGCCCAGGTTTTAAAAACCCACTGGGCCTTATTCCACCCTGGAACTTCTGTAATGGTGCTGGTGTGCTTTTCTCAAAGCACAAACTTGGGAGAGTCTTGGGTTCAAATTCTGGCTCTATTTTTAAGGCCTTGGACAAGTTTCTAAATATTGCTAAACCTCAGTTTTTTCATCAGCAAACTGGAAATAACACCTGAGATAATGTACACAAAACGTTTAGTATGGAGCATGGCACACAGTAGGTGCTCGATTAATGGTAATGCTTATGCTATGTTATCATCATCATTACTAGGTTTATAGAATTTTAAAACAGATCCTTGGACTGCTAGAAATTTTTTTCTTATTACAAAAGTTTAAAAAGCTCATTAGGGAAGATTTCTATGAACTGACATAAAGTGATTTCCAGGATATAATGTTAACTAAAAAAAAAGCAAAGTATAAAAGATCATCTGTAGTACTTTGCCCTCTGTAAAGGAAAAGGGGATGTAAGAAAATATACATGTTTTGACTTATCTATGCAAAAGAAATACAGGAAGGATAAACCAGAAACTAAAGAGATTGGTTAACTATGGAGGCAGGAGTGAGGGGAACAGAAAGATGGGGAACTGGGAACAGAACTGGCAAATAACAAGGATGAGAACAGTGTACACTCTCTGAGTATATCTAATTGTACCGATATATTCAATATATCTATCCCTCCCAACATATATTTATATAGATATACTCAGAAGTGTTTATCTTAGAACCATAACAATATTTCACACCCCCCCAAAATAAACAATTAAAATCAGTAACATGCAGAGGGAGCTAAAAACGGAATATAAGCAGTAACAAGTGAGCAAACTGTACTAGCAATGAATAATACCGCCACACAGAAGGAGGTGGGGAGGAAAAGAACCAGCCTAAGTAACTCTAAAAAACACTGATTTGACTGGATTCTGTAAGGCTAAAGAAAAAAAAACAGAACTGTATACAGATACTGTACTATAGTTATATTTATTTCTTACAGGGATATGGTTTAGCAATTCTGAAACTACCTTTTGTGTGTACTAGGACTGAATAAATAAGTAAATATATTTTATATAAGAACAAGATTCCCCACTGTCAGAGAAAAATGTTACAAATAAGGAAAGTGGGAAGACTAAAATGAACACTGGGGCTTTGGAATGCAATTGAAGGCATCAGTATAAACTCAAGGTTTTAAAAAATTAGATAGACAGATAGGTATAGATGATAAAATAAATATTGATTTGTGTGCATGCATAGGTTAGTACACTTAAACATTACCCAGTTCTGTCTGTTGAGAAGCACTAGAAACACTGACACCCCAACAGCAATAAGCACATTTAGCAACCAGATCTTGGTTTCTAAACACCACTATCCAGTAAAGGAAACTAGGCTCTTTGGAGAAGTGGTTGATTCCGGGTATTGCCAAAAAGTAAAGAAGTGCTCAGAGTATCAGGGGGGATGTCCAAAGGACACAGGACTTATCCTGAATGAGCTCCTAATGGCCAAAGCAAGAATAATTTGAGCAACAAATAAACAATAGTATTGAGTTGTAACCCAAAGAATAAAATGAATATCTCTGAGGCCACGGCCACGATGATACCAAAAATTGTTGAATAAATCAGTAAATGGTGGAAAAGGGAAAGTTTTTCCTTACAGAAGAAATCCTATTAATAAATGTAGAAGGCATGTGAGAAATAGTCACCATTAGGCAAACACCATAGTACTGTTACAGGCAAGATCCACTCACCAATGGATGCTAACATTAGAGGATGAGAGCTTGAGGAGAAACGGGATATTGTGTCATCTCAAAGTATCTCCCCCAATATATTTATTAATTACAAAGAGAAAAATAGTAACTCAGCAGTGGAAAAACTTTCCCTTTTCCACCATTTACTGATTTATTCAACAATTTTTGGTATCATCGTGGCCTCAGAGATATTCATTTTATTCTTTGGGTTACAACTCAATACTGTTGTTTATTTTGTTGCTCAAATTATTCTTGCTTTG